TGCAGGTTCATTCACGTGTTTCAGTTTGATGGAAATAGTCGAAACAGTTGAGAAAGTATCAGATAATCAGAAATACTATACTGAGAGCTCTTATCACTGAACCAATGAGATAGCACACAATCGAGTTCCCACTGTTTCAATCGTCTGATACTAGACATCCTGAAATGTGAGTGACCGAACCGAACTGATCTGTTATTCGACCACACTTCCAAATGGCTCGATGGATTTCAGTAATTAGTGAGTGTAATGTGGAATGTCAATTGCCAGGCTTTGAGTTCAGTTGAGTCTATTTCAATCCGATAGTTCGAAGCACAGTCTTCTGCTCTACCGATTATAAGTCAGATGGTCTACACACAAGATTATGTGTGAGGAAATCACGATAACAAATTGATTGCATTCACACTTTCAATTAATTGAATCACAATCCCACTAACATGAACTGTTTCGTGTTTGAGATTAGTGCAACTCACCTCTCACAGTGGCGTGGATCAAGAAGACAGTCAGTTATAGAAACGAGCTTTCCAATATTTCACGAGTAAATAAACTTAGACATTCTAACTACTGTTACACAAAATACTGTTTTGTCGAGTCTTATTATCAAACGTTAGATGTAAATTTATAAACAGTGTGACAAATAATTAGGGCAAAGCAAATCAGATTCCACCTAATTTTGTTTAATGTTTTGCATGAAACGACACAATTAATTGACCCTATAATTGTTTTAATGACACCCTAAATTGATTATTGATTGCATCTTATGTCTGGTTGTTTGATTGTATATAGAATTTTCTTCTCGCTAATAATTTCCGTGTAATTTTTTCATAAGGTTTATTTAGTCTACTTGTGTGTTTTGTAGGTCGTCAAACTGTTTCGGATTTTAAGTTGATAACATTATTCTCATATTTTATTTTGTTGGTGATATTATATATTAACAAACAATAGATGTTGTTGTTGGTTTATAATCAGGCTTACTGGTTACCGCCATAATAACTAGTTATAATGTAATCACAATATATGGTTTACTTTTTCTAGAAATACGAAGAAGTTTTTGAATATTTCTCTTTAAAAATGGGAAAAGTTTACCTGTTTATTATTCTAAACCCTCTCAGTATTGAAATGCTATTCACGACCTATATTTATTAGATTAATTAAATAACCTGTTAAATAATGAATTATTTTGTTAAAATAGAACTATGTCAGTGGTATTGTGTACGTATCGTTGTTAATCGTGGGAAAAATAGTTGTCCGTCAAACAATTTAACTGTTTCTTTTATCGGTTGCTGATTTGAATAGCATATTCATTTCTTATTGAAACGTTGTATATTGTTTCCACAACTTTTTTTAATTGTCTTTTATTTTGTTTTTACAATGAATTTATTTAGTTAAATGTGTCTATCAACTTTTCTTTTATGTTGAATATGCAAGACCAAACTATAGGTCTTATATTTATCCTACTATGAATTTAGGAAATCACACTCGTAATGCCTAAATATGTCATTGTTTGTGTCTACTTAGGTTCAAATGACTGATGATCTTTGTCAATGTATTCAAGAATGCTTTTCTAGTTTATATTCAGGAGTTAATAAAGTGCACTATCGATTAGTGCTATCTCAGATGTAGCTCTCAGTTGGACACCAACGCCAGCTAAACCAGGTGATGCCACAGGGTCCTCGAACAAACGCACGTGAAACAGGCTTCCCAAAGTGACTGATGTAAAACAAATTCGTGGTAAATTAATGAATTCCTGTATGGAGGCTTGGGATAGACAACATACATCGAATTCAAACTTTTAAAGACATAGTCAACCTTATATGTTGTTCAATTTTCATCAGCGTGCAAACGTTTAGGAAGCCAGTTTGAAAAGCCTACGTGGTTTCAGAAAGGCTGATCTCAAATTCCTATCCGATGGTAGCATTCAACTTTCGACCGATCAGTAACTTTAGGACGTTTAGTCGACCTTCTGTATGAGTTGAAAAGTCAAGTATTATACAAAGTGGGAGAGAAAACGAATAGACAGGTGACGTACTGCAAGATATGAACTAACGTTATCAAGTTATTGTAAATATAATTTGTGAGGGTGCAGATTGAAGTGACAGTAAATTTTTTCATTTATCATCATTTTTCGATTTGTGTGTGGGCTGAGATACCACCTGGATTCCTAGAGTGAGGTAGGCAGTTTTCTTAGGGAGCCACTTCAGAGCCTTTAACCTAGAGATATAATCCACAAGGCAGTGGAGCAACGTTAGGGCACGCGATCCCACGGTAGCCGATGACCAAGAATAGGTTTATGTGCCATCTGTCCCCTCAGGATCTTGGGACCCATATACACTACTGGTTTGCAATCAAGGTTTTCCAACCCTTCCGGGTGGACCTTCCGAACCCCCGACCCAGTTTAAGAACCGGATATTTGCTTTCCATTCTCTCAACTTTGCAATTAACACCGCCACAAGAAACCAGTGAGTACAACTTCACCAGCAGTTGGTATATATGTATATATATGTGGTCGTATTAAAGAATTTCTAGAGGGAGAGTGGAATCTTCGCAATTTCCGCCGTACCTTGGCAGCTTGAAGCCATAGAAGTGTTTGTATATATTTTTCTAAATATAAAAGTACAGCAATATGTACTTAGTTAAATATTTGCGGCCATTAACATTCATAATGATTAATATTTTCATCACTCGTTAAAGATTACTTTTCATCAAAACCTGCGAGGTGTTTCTAGACTGTTCGTAATCGATGTTTTCTTGAAAATTTCATCAGTCAAGGGAATAATTTTTGTCTATATGACTTACGATTACTAAACAGTTAATGTATTTAATTCATCTTAGATGATCTACTTCTTTGCACGGTTTGATGACTTTGCTTTCATATAAAGTGACTTGTAAAAAGAAGGTGGAAATGGATAGGACATACATCACGGAAATCACCAAACTGAATCACAAGGCAAGCCCTAACTTGAAATTCTGAAGATACATGTAAAAGAGAAAGGCCAAAGAAAACATTACGTCGGGAAATAGAAGCAGATATGTAAAGGATGAATAACAACTGGAAGGAGCTGAAAAGGATTGACCAGGACGGAGTTGGAGGCAGAGTGATGGTGGGTGGCCTATGCACCTCCACGAGGATTAACAGGCGTAAGGAAGTGATTAAAGGGTTCCAAATAGAAATTTAATTTGGGCAACACACTTCATTAGAGCAGAAAAATGTGGTATAATCTATTTCATTTCACACTGTAGCTAAATAAAAATGAATATAGGTTTTTATGTATAATTAATTTATCAGTAATATAATTTTATGGATAACTATTGTTAGTTAAAAACTACTGAGAATAGTAAAATATAGAAAACCAATTTATTTGCACCGTATAATTATTTTAATCGCTATCGCATGTCTATAAAATTCTTTTTCGGTAATGAAATAGTTTGAAAATCCTCAGAATCAATCTTATGAAATAAATCAAAGTTGAAATATTTGGCTACGAAATATTTGCATATCTAAAATGTATATTATTCGTATCCGTATTTCAGCAAATGTGATATTATTATAGATGCTCAATGAAGTGTAACATTCACGGTTTTACTAAGAAGAATGTTTGTTAGAGTTATTTTCATAGTTGAATGGTACTACTTTATTATGATAGTTAAGTTTTTATGGTACCAATAGTAACATCAAGGCAAAACGCACTTTATATGAGACTAGTTTGGATGTTTTTTTGGATCAAATCGTTGAAAATACAAATGAGATAAAGTTTTGTGGATATTTATTATAATGTAAATTTATTTCAATCGATTGATAGAATTCTACACTAAGTTTTTTTAGTTTCTTTGTTTAGGTAAAACTGTTTGTCTATATTTTAAAAATCCTGAATTTGACTTCAGAATTTTTTTTATAATGTTTAACCAGAAATTCTGTTTATACAAGTATTAACGCCATTCTCCTGTGGTTATATAGGGAATTAATTTCATCAATAAATGACAAAACTAAATGAAAACATATAAACTATCGAATCTAATGTTTCAGTAGGCGTAAAGACAGCATAAGATGGATATAAACAGAAGGAACATTCCGTTACTTATGAGGAGCTGTACACTAACATAAAGATTACTCATTTTATATAAACACTGGTCACCATTTTCAAATGAATCGATCACCAAGTTCTCCTGAATTTCTAACTTCAAAAGAAGAAAAATGTAGGTCATTTTACATGCTACTTATCTAAATCTGATCTCAACATTATTGAATTGCAACAATCTCCTAAATATTCTTCATTAAAGGGTTAAAAAAGTCTGTTATGCAAGACAAAGCTAATAAACCATCATTATTTATAAATTCTGATAAATTTCATAATATAAATAAAGTAAATAAAATGACATTCTAATAAGGTTATTAACATTTTGATTGGAGATTGTACTACTACAAATTATTAATTATATACATGCTTGTCCTTGAACTGCTATAGTGCAGTAATTCTAGGCGTATTGCTTGGATATGAATGATACTAATGACTGATTTATACATATGTATCAAGTAAAATTCACTTTACTGACATTGATTTTGACCAGATAACTAATGTGACTTATCATATTCAGCAAATTAATGAGAGTAATTTACTTGTTATATGGTATCTCTAATCATAACTATATTTTGATAGTTTAAGGAAGCTAGTAATCGTACAAAAAGTTTAGGTTACATTATTTAATACCTCAAACGTGTTAAATGATGGTAAGCTATTCTAACAAATGATCGAGTATAAAACACTTCGTAAACGTTTCAAATAATAAAATTCTTTTTGCGGAATCAAACATTATATTAAAATAACACATGTAGATCTTACTTTTCATCGTTCTTAATGAATATATAGCTTTTTGTTGAAAAAGAGAAACCACTTATATGTATACCTGTTCTGATCATCAAGAGAAACTTAATTCTTCCTTTATAATGTTTCATTATTTTGTTCCATTTTTTGGTTTTTGGAATACGCTTCCTTTTCGGCACTGAGTTATCCTTCACGATAGAATTGTCGTCGTAATTTTAACAGTTCTCTTGTTACAAAAAATATATGTACAATACTTATTAATCCAACTAGTATGCAGATCATTGTGATTGGATAATAAAAAACATTTAATTTGCCACACTTAATTGTAAAAGCAATTGCAATCACCGGCATAACTATGCCAAATAATAAGTCACACATTACACAAAATAACATTAATGATGCTGATGGAACTGATTCATAATGATATAATCCCATAGCAAGAGTACCAATTAATAGAAAACCTGCAGAACACCATAAACCAACACAGTAGCATTGTATACGATATGTATAAATTATATAACCAACTTCAATGGTCGAACAACATAGTCCCATTATTAACAATAATAAACCTGTTATCATGGTAAAGAAATCCCATCTATCTCCATTATCACACCAATATTTACTGCATAGATCTTCATTTTCTGAAATCGGTTCACTTTCTACTATTTTTGTTTTTGGCATTATTTTAATTTCCCCTTTGATAAATAGAATCTATTTAGATAGAATTTCACAGTTTTTAACAGAAAATGTTTCTTTTTAGAAGCGAGATTTAATGCTCACTCTATTGATGTGAAAAAATGTATTTGAAATGAATGTTTATTTTCTTCTATACAAAAATTGAAAATTCAATGTTCATAGATTATAAGGTACTTCATAATCAGCTTTAACATACAATTGTACAATAATAATTTTCATACGGTTCTACTTTTGGTAATATATATATATATAAGTAATAGTATTTTGCATCAAATAAATAGTAGTATATGATTGGTTGATCAGTCCTCTTTAATTTTTGTTTATCACCACTTAAAACATAAATTCGAGTGACCTTGATAATCTAAATCTAAGATTGTCTTAATGAGTTGCATTTTAATTTTACCAGTAAGTTACATCTTTATGTGTACTTATATTATGTAATTTTTGTAAGTTTTATTATTAAGATCAGATCAATGCAAATGATAAGTTGAGTTAATTATTTATCTATGCATTAATAAACAAATAGAATATCAGAAGGGGTTTTGTGGATATTATAGTAATTGTAATAGTTGAGATAATGAGTCAATTGAAGCTAGACCATCATGGAAAACCTGGAAGCACTGGACGGCCGTTTCGTCCTCTTGTGGGACTCCTCAACAGTAGACATCCACGATCTCGCCTCGCGAGATTCGAACCCAGGATGAGATGATCATTCAGTGCTTCCAGGTTTTCCATGGTGGTCTGGCTTCAGTTGACTCATGATCTCAACTATTAAAATAGAATATCATTTTCATTTCTATAAATGTATGGCTATTATGTTTGTATCGACTGACAGATGGATTGTATGTGATTGCTTTGTATTTATTGAATAATATTTATTTAATTATGTTCGATGTCATCTACTTTCTTCAAACACTGATATATATATTCGTGAATACTACATCAGTTTTGAATGAATTTGAAAACTTCTATTTCTTCACTTACAATAAATTAAGTTTTTCTTAAAAAGAAAATTTGATTGTTTAGATCTTTGAAGTGTTGACATTTAATTCTCAGTTTATCTCTTTTGTTGAATACATCGAATTAATTAAATTTGAGTATATTTTATACACTGAAATATGATATACTTTTTAGAATGAAGATCTACATATCTGTCTATAAAATTTCATTATACACAGATTTTACTGAAAACAAACATTTTGTTTTATGAGTCAGTTGAAGCTAGTCCAACAGGTTTTCTATCGTGATCTAGCTTCAATTGACTCATGAATTCAACTAATAAATTACTATCATATCCACAAAATCCCTCTCTGATTTTCCTTTATTCCGACAAAAAATAAATCATCTTAATAAAAATTATTGGGTATTCTGCAAACAGTGTTAATGATGTTTGTTTATTTTCAAATAATCAAGAGACCTATGTGCACTCTATTCAAGCAATGTGTACACTCGAAAGATGTCTTATCAAAGTTATGTATCATCTTATTTTCTTGTTATAAATATGGGATTTATGCCAATCTAATCACTAGTAAGACACAACGTTACAAGTATATTACTGTTATAACATTAAATGAAAAATTTTTCATAGATTGACCATGTCAATGGGATTTCATCAAACATGAAAGTTACCGGACGGAAATGAAAAGGACGCTTTGTATGATAAATTATTGTGTTTATCTGAAACGATATGTGTATTGATTTTACAGGAGTGCACAGGTAAATTACATAAGACATTTTATAACTCATAGTATTATCAAGTTTCAAATGAATTACTTAACGGGAAGCAGTTTACAGGTAAATAAATGATTTTATTCTTTTGGGTGATAATAATCCAATTAGTTTAAAACAGTTAGTTGATTTCACTTGGAGATTAAATCGAATACTCTTTGAAGAGTTGGTTAAAAATTTATATTTTAGTGTGGGAAGGATTGATAAACTTTATAGGTATATATCACTGGCAAATGAATTTCCGATTCACTTTCCATGAGATAAAAATGACATCGAAACCCTATCACTTAAGGATGAGTTATTATGTGTTTACTTACATACATCAAAACCTGTTTGCTAAATTGGTGGAATATGAATCTGATCTAAATTATAATAAAATTAGAAATGACAATAGAAATTTATTCCACTGGTTGACATACACAAAATCTGTGAATACTAAACATGTATTCTTAAGTTTACATTATGCTCATCAGCAAATTTCCAACAAGTGGATAATAGTAACAGAATACCATACGACGATGTCAATAAACAGAAACTTAGAACAAATAAACTCAACTGACAAATAATCAGAATTAGGCGTATTACAGTGCCTTTTGGAAATGATTAGAGAGAAGAAAATTCTATATACAATCAAACAACCAGACATAAGATGAAATCAATAATCAATTTAGGGTGTCATTAAAACAATTATAGGGTCAATTAATTGTGTCGTTTCATGCAAAACATTAAACAAAATTAGGTGGAATCTGATTTGTTTTGCCCTAATTATTTGTCACACTGTTTATAAATTTACATCTAACGTTTGATAAGAAGACTAGACAAAACAGTATTTTGTGGAACAGTAGTTAGAATGTCTAAGTTTATTTACTCGTGAAATATTGGAAAGCTCGTTTCTATAACTGACTGTCTTCTTGATCCACGCCACTGTGAGAGGTGAGTTGCACTACTCTCAAACACGAAACAGTTCATGTTAGTGGGATTGTGATTCAATTAATTGAAAGTGTGAATGCAATCAATTTGTTATCGTGATTTCCTCACACATAATCTTGTGTGTAGACCATCTGACTAATAATCGGTAGAGCAGAAGACTGTGCTTCGAACTATCGGATTGAAATAGACTCAACTGAACTCAAAGCCTGGCAATTGACATTCCACATTACACTCACTAATTACTGAAATCCATCGAGCCATTTGGAAGTGTGGTCGAATAACAGATCAGTTCGGTTCGGTCACTCACATTTCAGGATGTCTAGTATCAGACGATTGAAACAGTGGGAACTCGATTGTGTGCTATCTCATTGGTTCAGTGATAAGAGCTCTCAGTATAGTATTTCTGATTATCTGATAGTTTCTCAACTGTTTCGACTATTTCCATCAAACTGAAACACGTGAATGAACCTGCACTGGCACTTGCACTTGTAATTGGACGATAGTTGGGAACTATTTAGTTCCACTATGTTATCCTCGTTGATAAACACAATCTTCGTGTGTGTGTGTGTGTTCTGTTGAAAAATGTCAAAGTCCAATAAAGTCATTCTACATTACTCCCTTGTTTCCTTATTTCTCTATCTGATTTCCATCTATGAAACGTTATTCACTCGATTGAAACAATCTCCTCAAATCGTCTGGATGATTGCTAGACACTCTGTTGATCATATGCATTTTAGAACAGATCTCTGACATGATTTACTACTGTTGAGAGCGTTCACACACATCACTCAGATAATTGTTTTACTTTTCGTGTGAAAATCCATGCAATTTGCATATCACTGTAATCATTACAATCATCACAATTATGATTATGATCGTGAAAAGCACACTTATCATGTGTCGTTTGCAGTTGAATGCAATTACAGTTATTCGACAAACTAATCAACATTTCTGTGCAAACAAGCTCACTGTCATAATATAGACAAGAAACGTGTAGTGTATCATTGAGTGATATTTTCAATGTGAAGTGCTTTGTGATATGCATGGAACAGCTATATAGTTAGAAACGAGATTTACTCTGATCACTTATAAATGATAAACAGCAATTGAATAGTTTATTTTATAATTACTGAACAAATGTTTTTATTAACTATTGTTTTGAGAGCGTAGTTTGGTGGCTCAACGAATTAGTAGTTTCGATGCTTGTTTTGTAACATTTTACTAATTTTTTTCAGATGATATATTGTATCATATCCTAAACTTTTTTCATACAAAGCTTTATATGTTATTTGTACTGTTATTCTGGTTAGGCTAATTTATGGAGAACCTTAAGCGTGTCCACTTATCAACCACGATCAAATAATGGCTATAAACCAGTTTGAGAAATTAGAATTGTGATTTACAGTTGATGGTTAAGGTTAGGAATTTGACTCATGGTTTTATCACGAACTAACATCAGCTATAATGCAAAAACTCTATGTAACCCAATGGATGAGTGAATTTCGCGCTAAAATCCGTCACCTGTTATTTTATACATGATTCGTTCGTCCACAAATTATAGTCTCGCCGCATATCATCATTAATAATATTTAGGAAATAAGTTTTTCGATAAAACCTGTATTTGTGTGATTATGTGATGAGTTTGTCAAATAATGATTCATATGTTTATTATCAATCACTTGATCACGTAGAATGCAATACCTTCAAATTAAAAATTCGCGTGTATTACTGGATGCTATGTGAAATTCAACGGCTTTTATTTTTTATATTTCTTTCTCTATGTAGTTAATTCTTGGACACTTACCAAATCGCTATACTAAGAATCATTTTCGAGCAATCATTTGGTTTGGATTCGTCACTCTACACCAACTTCCTTGACTATGACAAAGCATTTGACGTTGTGGATTGGAGAAACCTATGGAACATACTTTGACATTACAATGTGCCTGAGAAGATCGTCAGCGTTATCCTGACTTCATACGACGGATTACAGACGAGAGTCGTGCATGGAGGAAGCTAAAAGACGCATTTCATTTGAGGGGCGGAGTCACACAAAGCTGCCTACTCCTCTCTTTGCTCTTTCTTCTGGTGGTTGACTGAATTTTGAAGACCTCCCCATCTCGGGGTAAGCATGAAATACAATAGACAGGTTGGATGCAAATATACGACTTAGGCTTCGCAGATGACTCAGCTCTTCTATCCCATACACAATAACCAATGAAGGTAGAAACAGCTAGAATAGCAGCAGTCTCTACTACAGTAGACCTCAGCACACTCAATGAAAAATGTGAGATTCTGAAATGCAACACAGCGAGCACGAACTTAAT